GTGGGGCAAACCTGTCTTGTCCATTTGATCACACATCGTTTTAAAAGGCGTTTCCCTGTTGTGCTAACTTGGCCAAATTTTCTTTGCCAGCTTCCCTGAGTACTAGTCTGTAATGTTTTGCTAAGTGACAAACATCAGGCCTCCTGGTCCCAAATACTCACAATTTGGCCCTGTAGATCCATTTAGCATGAAATTGCATCAAGAATAAGTCAGTTGGGGTGATCCTGAAGTTACATGGCTGTTGGATTCAGATTCTGCTAACGGCTTTTCTTGGGAATCCTTACAGTTGCATGTAGAGAGAGCTGCCCTGGCACTGTTTTTTAGGAGAAAAATTTGTTTGAATCACACAAGGAGAATATTTTAAAACCAGATAAGACCGAATCAAGGAGCTTTATGGTTTTAGTTGCAATATATAGCATGGAGTACTGGCAGATCACTGAATCACACGTTGGAGTATTTAACATCGCATTGGCAGGCATCTCTGTGTGTTACTGTCTGCTGCTGTGCAAGAGAGAAACAGTTTACAGAGAGATTTTCGACCTGGAAATGTGCTAGGTACACAAACAGAAGCTGTATGCTCATATTTGCCATATTCTCATGGCTCTCCTCTCCACAGCCTATCCCACATGTGAAGATCAATCAGTCTTTCAGGAAAGACTTTTTCATATAGAATTTCAGGGAATCATTTCTCCATAAGCTCCTTTCTTTGTGTTAAGTCAACATTGACAAAACCTTGATCTAGGAGGAAAATAAACTGAGACAACAATCTTCAACTTATAAAATTTCCAGCTCTGGTTGAAGCTGTTGGTAGGCTTAGAAAGACATAAACGCTGACCGAAAATCAGCTTTATGAGGAGGGGATGTGGAACATGTTTATAATTTAACATAGAGAAGTTATGCAGGTTTATCTATACTGTTTTCCCTCTCCAAGGCTGTTGTAGATAATCTAGTCCAGTAGGGCTGGCAGAGTAATCCAAGGATTGTTAGATTTCAACATTTACACAAATCCTGCTTTGCAAAATGGACTCCAAAAGTTCTTATGGGTTGGTAGTCATTATAAACTATACTCTGTGGATGCAGAATCAGTTCTTGTTGGAAAGAGACTTGTTGGAAGGACCAGAAACTTGGCTTAGGTGGTTGAGATCCTGACATCTGTGCAGGAGCAGCAGTGCAAACACTAAATTCGTGTGCGTGCTGGGAATCAGCTTGCATTTCATCCTTGCTTTTTTATCCCTACCTGCAACTTTTGACTGTCCAAAATTGAGCATATCCCACTTTTGACATTAGTATGTGTATGTATATGTATATGTGTATGTGTATGTATATGTCCTTCTGTTTAGGATCATGTGTTTAGTTTTCTCCTTTCCTTATTTTTCCTCCCTCTATTCACAACAGCCTCTCTAAATATAATGGCATAAATTCAGTCATGATGGAGGATAGAGGATAAAAGAAAAATCTGCTGGAAATAAGGTTGTGCCTAATTGAAAGAGTGAGGCCAATGGCTGAAATGCTTTGATATTTCGTGAAACTGTTTCTTTTGCATTGTAACTTCTGCTGCAGTGATGCTTTCAGCACTTTGCTATTGTTGCTCTTGCCACGGATGGAAAATAAAAAGTAGCATGGAAGTCATAATAGACTTAGGGGTTTCTAGCAAATTCTTTTTTTTTTTTTTTTTTTTTTCTTTTGTCACTGAAATTCTGTAGTGATATCTCTGGGGGGAGAGTGTTTTGCTGAGGCTTTTTGTTGGTTTCTGCAATTTTTCCTAAAGAAGATCAGGACCAGTCTGAGTTCTTATGCAGATATGTGTCTGTCATCTTGTACTTTCCATGTGTTTGAGTGAATAAATGTGCTTTGTCATTTGTTTTGGACAGATGTTGGGTCTTTGGATCTTGGAATGTCTTTTTTCTCTGAGTCTTAAGAAAGTTTCCATCCCAGAAGCAGTGCTTATGTACTTAAGGTATTATTCTAAAATTGCTGTGAGATTAAGTGGAAATGTCAACATGGAGGCTGTTAATTTAAGAATCTGTGTTTAGGATTATGGTTTTCCTCCAGATATACTGTGAAGGATATCCATTGAGGAGCAGCCCTTAGATTTGATCATGAATAACTTCTAGTGGGGAGTTGCAGGCTAAAACACAGACCATGGAGAAGCTATGAATAGGAGGGAGGTGGCACATTAAATGTAAATTGCATGTGGAAAAGCTGAGGAGATGAACGGATGGGAAGGCAGGTGATCAGAGAAATGCAGCTGTGGTGGCCATTTCTGCCCAGCAGCACTGGTGTTCCATGTTTCATTTTCTCACACAGCACTTTTTGGCCTTCTTTTTGAGAATTAAGCCTAAAGCTGAGTCCTGCAGACCTTTTTTCTACATGTCACAAAGGACTACTTATACTTGAAAGCAAAGTTATTAATGTCTTTTTAAACTACAAAATGCCAGAGATATTCACACCCAGCCTAGCAGAAAGGGTGGAAAACCAAAAATGTATGGGCTTTTCCTTTGAAATGAAAATATTTCCCTATCTCTTATAAAGATTCAGAGCTTTAGTTTCTAAGATAGAGCCCCTATTGTTAATCCCATCTGTACTCTGTGGGATATCTCAAGTGACACACCACTGAAAATTGAGATAAACGTAGGCTCTTTTGCTGCGTGATGGTAAGAAACATCAAGGCTTCTGCTGCTACAAGTTATCACATAGTCATGCTCATTTACATGCTGCTCATGCTGACCTATGTGAACCAGCAGAAAACTGTGAGTAGGTACAAAGACGTTGGAGAAGAGCAGTTCTTTGTGCTGTGCAAAATCAGTGCTTAAATCTTCCAGGTAGCTGCAATGCAAAAGTGGCTTTTTACTGTGCTTGGTTCTGGTTTTGGTTTCTTTTGTTTCTTTTTGATTTCTAATTTTTTCTATAATTTTAATTTTTATTCACTAATGTGAATAAAACCTGTGATTGAAAATGTTTGGAGATCAGCAGCAGGTGAGAGATGCCTCTTCAGAGCACTGTAGGGTTATGTTATGCAGATTGATGGGGTGGTATTTGAAAGCATGATGTTTTTCCTTTCAATATATATGAGAGATATATAGAAATTATTGATCTGGCTTAGAACATCCATTAATTTCCAGTTAGCTTTTACTACTACTTTTAACAACTCTTGAGTTTTCTGTGTTTGTCTTGATTTTTTTTTAATCTGCTATGCTAATAAAAGGCTGACTTCAAGTTAAGGTTTTTCAAAGATGTGAAGTGCTGTCCTGTCTTCAGCATCCTGCCTGCCACTTTGCTGTCATTCTCAGCTTTGCTTTCCAACCTGTTCCTGTCTTCCTTCCCACTCCCTGCCAAAGAATCCAATCGACCTTGCTGCAGATCATGTGTGTATTAAATATAACCTGACCCAGAAGGAGCCATTGCCTCTGTAGCCCCATGGCTGGAGCAGGTGGATTTATAGCACACACACCCACATGAAAAAATTACTTCTTTCCTCCACAGAGTCTTTATTTGTTTAAAGTGGAGCAAAGCTGTGAGGAGAGCATGAGCCAGAGCTGCCATGCTGCAGCCAGTGGTTATTTTCCTTGGGAAGTGGGGTGTTATCACTCTCATCTGATTTAAACCCGCTGGCTGCATGAATGCTAAGCTGTTACCTGTTTACAGGCAGGTCTCTTTCCTTTCCCTGGTATAATTCTGCTAATCGAGATACTTTGTAAGGTAATTCCTGAGTCCTCTACGTTAGGCCCCCGAAACATTGCACAGGATTAATATATTCTAGATGGGAGAAAAAGATGTGAAAGATATATTTTACTTCACTTGGTGGAGCTTTGCTGAAGCTAATTGCTTAATTTAAATTTCTCAACTTGAGACTGAAGTGCCTGTGTGTTCAGTGAGCAAATCCCTTCTGGGAAATGCTGGCTCAAGCCATACCTGATGAGGAGAAATGGGTGGTGGCAATGCGAAGCTGTCAAGCTTTGGCTGGGATTAAGTTAATTTTTTTTCCTTGTAGATGGTAAAATGCTGTGTTTGGAACTTAGGATAAGAATAGAATTGAGAACACTGATGTTTTAGTTGTTGCTGAGCAGTGCTGCAAAGTCAAGGCTTTTTCTGCTCTTCACTCCACCCCACCAGTGAGTGGGCTGTGGGCACAAGAAGCTGGAGGAGACACAGCTGGACCAGCTGACCCCAGTGGGCCAAAGGGATATTCCACATCCCATGGCATTATGCTCAGTACATAATGCTGGGGGCAAAGCTGGCCCAGGACTGCTGCTCCGGGGCTGGCTGGACATTGGGTGGTGACCAATTGCATTGTGCATCACTTGCTGTTTGGTATTGTTATGGTTGTTGTTATTGCTACTATTTTTTCCTTCTTTTTCTATCTATTAAGCTATTTTTATCTCAACCTACAAGTTTGCTTCCTCTCCCCAGTTCCTTCTCACATCCTACTGAGGTAGAGTGAGCAAGTGGCTGTGTGGTGTTCAGTTGCCTGCTGGGTTAAGCATGCCACAGAGCTGTGAGGATTTCTTGGGTTCCCAGCAGAGGAGCTGGGACAGCCCATCAGGAAGCAGTGGACGGGGAGGCAGCCCAGCAGCCACCTGGGTTGGTGCCTTCATCTGACACCTCTTGCCCCACGTGTGCCATGGAGCCCACTGGGCAGAACAGGGGGAGCAAGAGTGAAATTGCTGCTGCCTCTGCAGGGCTGTGCCTGCCTCCAAACCTGTTAAAGGATCTCACTGGCACTGGTTGGTAATTGCTCTCTCGGCCCTATTTTATGCCCATGGTCTGTAAGTGATGGTGTGTCGTGCTTAAATTGAATGCATTTTGTGTAAGGCCTGCAAGTACAGTATGGACGCTCCAGTCTCCATGATTACCTAAAATTATGATATCATTTTGCAATAGATAATGATCATTATAAGTACATTTAGAAACTTTTGTTTTGAAATGCATGTCTTTTAAAAGAACACCCTTTTTTTCCTGTTTCATTTTTTAAAAAAACCTCATTATCTGCTGGTGAAAAGGCATCGGAGGAAGTGTCAAAATCTCTGCAAGCAATGAAAGAAATTCTGTGTGGGACCACAGACAAAGAGCCACCCACAGAAATTGTGGCCCAGCTGGCACAAGAGCTCTACAACAGTGGCCTTCTAGTGACGCTTATTGCCAACCTGCAGCTGATAGATTTTGAGGTAGGTCGGCATCCATAAACTTTTTTTGTCTCCTTGGTCTTGGTGTTGGCAGTGACTTGAGCCATATTTTTCTGAAGTCTAGATAATTTCATTGCATTCAAAACTCCACAGGCTGAAGAAAGTTGCTGGTCTAGATTGGTTGGTGTCCTGAAGGACATGCTTGTACACTGGCAGTAAATCCGATTTTTTTAAAATTAAAACAAAAACAATAAAGAAATATTGCCACGTGTATCCAAACGAGATAGGACATGGTGCTGGGAATACTGTCTAGGACCAACCTCATAAACTGCAGGGATGATCTTTGGGATAGTGCAACTAGAGCTACTTGCTGTCTCTGATGAGTGTCCAATTTAAAAAGGATTCAGGGACATGGAATAAAAATAATTGGAAGCATGGAAAATTTCATGTGACAAAGACTGAAAGATTAAAATGGTTTCGTTGAGAGGAAAGGAGTTGAAAAACGTGTTAAAAACAGACAGCAGGTCACAAGGTAACTTGGGTGTTCCCCACTTAATTGTCTGGACTAAAAGAAGAAAGGAATAGAACTTTTTTTCATGGTAGAAAGATTAATATGAATGTAAATGTATATGTATTATTTAATTTTATGTATTTATATATATATATTACATATTCTGTGGAACTACTCACCAGCTTTGTTGTTAAAGCCAAAAACGTAGTAAACAACTGCTATGACAATTAAACTCGCTTATAATTAAGGAAGAGAAGAGTTATAGTAGCCAAGATTGCAGTAATTCAGGATAAGTATCAACCCTGTTAATTTACTGTTGACTGGGAGGGAGGGAATAAACTCTGTCACTGTCAGGTCATTGTCATTCTTGTGGTTTGCAGTCAGCTGGGATAGTGGCCCCCAGGGACTGCTGTTATGAGTTCCATGATTTCTGTGCCTCCTGGGTGCTGGTGATTTCTCACAAGTGTCCAACACCATCAGCGGGAAATTCCCAGCTCCCAGGAGCCAAACCTCCACTAGTGAGGTCTGGACAGGAGCAGCACCCAATGTACAGGCAGGTGCTGAAGAGAAAAGCCAGTTTCTCAAAGAGATCTGGTACTCTCAGAGACACCTTTGTGGGAGTCATGTGTAGAAGTGATTTTCTTTCCATTTTGCAAATTAATGAAAGGAAAACGGGTTATTTATGTTTCATTTTTCCCACTCTGCCCCCTACCACCAGCAAATCCAGGATCAAGGACTGATTTATTTATTTTGTATTAATTCTTGAAAATGTTTTTAGTGGAATTCTCTTACTCTTGCCTAGGTCTTAAGTTCAGGAGGTTTTTTTTAATGCTTTGTCTTTTCTGTGCCTCCTCTGGTTACTATTAAATGTCTAATTACAAAGTACTCAAAACCCAACAACTGAAGCCCTTAAAAAACCCTTTAAGAAAAATGGAGAAGAGGGAAGGAGAAGAAACTGTTAGCACAGAAGGGACACTTCTGCTCTTTTTTAGTTACACGACAGTCTGTATTGCTTCTGCCAGAAAAAAGTTCTGTATGAACATATTGAACATACAGTCTTTAAAAGCAAGCACTGGATGAAATACCTAATCTATTGCTGAATTGCTGTTATTACAAACAATTCTCATAATTCTTATTGCAAAATATATTTTTTTGTTATTTGCAAAACTTTTCCAGTCATTTAGCCAAGCTGTTATACATGTTATTTGGACAAAATACTAGAAACCAAATGTCACTGAATAAGAGGACAGTAAGAGCATATGCTGCTTTGTCTTCATGTCTTACCACTGACTTTTCCAGTTTATCAACTTTTCTGTTTCCGTTTTGTTATATTGGTGGCCACAGTCAGTGTTTAACTTTCTTTGTTGAACAAGCAGTATCACCACTCTGTAACATGCAAGTTAATCTTTTGATCTGTATGTAATGGTAAAAAGCAAATCATAGCCTACTGAAAATCTGATTTCTGAAGGCAATAATGTTCCTTTGCTTTGTCTTGACTCCCTGTGTCCTCCTCACCAACCCTGCTGCCCAGTTTGATCTCAATTTTTCAGAGCTGAGCTTCCCTTTGAAGATGTGTTTTCAAGGACTGTGTAGGGGAAACTTGTATACATCCATCATGCATCCATAGAAAACTCAGGTTTATTGCTTCTGCCACTCAGCAAACAAGATATAATTCCAGTGATGATATTGTTAGGAAACAGGAGCCCAGAATCAAGATCAGACTGGATTTTTAGAAATTTAAAATATGAAATTTAGTTTTGAACTTTGAGGAACTGAGGCAAATGTGCAAACAGAACAAGTCAACTGAAAGTGTAGCTGTTACTGTGTGTACGCTTAAAGGTTCACAAACTGTAAAACCCCTAAAATAAGCATTAAAAAACTGCAAGCCCAGGACTGGCGATTTTATAACCTTTCCTCTACTTTGCTTTGAAACAGGGACTAAATTATGGTATGGGTATTATACAATCTTTTATTTATATTATGCATCCTTGGCAGGTGTTTTTTGTTCTTGTCTAGCCACTTTCTCCTCCTGCTGCCTTATCTTATGCTTCAGTGGCCATATGTTTTTCATTATAAGGCAAAATTCAATTGCAGATCCGAGTAAGGAGTGTTTCAAAAGTACTCCTACAATTTTAATGTATGCCAGGTGGTGAAGGAAATCTCTTGTGGCTCCCTCCTATCTGCCTCCATTCCCTCCTGGAGAACCCATGGAGATCGACTCTGGCTTTCACTATCACTGATCTCTAGAAAATTAGCTATAATTGGATACATAGATCTATGTATTTATATCTATCTCCTCTCTGCTCGTGGATATTATGCTGCAATGCACACAGTATTAAGTAACTAATATAAAATTTGGCATAGAAGATCATTTAATTTCTGGACATCTTTACCTCACCCTTTCAACAGCTCTTCTCTGAATTGTTTTTATCTTGGAGTAACTGCTGAAGCCTGTGGGGATCACAGGATTCCAGGCATATGATACGGGTGTTGTAAAGATAGGGGAGAATGGGATGACTTTATACAGAATTAGCCTATTTGAAATTATGTCCAAGGGTCAAAAAAAGTGTTGCAGACAAAGGCAGATGGATTGGCCTGCTCTGATTTGATTGTCCTGTTTAATTCCCAGAGTTTCCAAGTCTCCAAGCCAGCTGGGCTGGAACAAGTAAGAAAGCAGAATATTTTGTGTTCCTCAGCACTGATTTATTTGTAGAGGTGAAACCAGGGAATTTTCCTGCGTGTGAAACTATCTGCTCCTTGGCTTCAAACATTCAATAAGTTCTCTGCCAAGGAATGTTTGTCCTCCCAAGACAGATCAATGAGCATGTACAGATTACAAGTGACCTTTTGCTTTAGCTTGCCCTGTGCATAGTGACCTGCTGTTGACTCAGTGCCTTGGTTACTGGTCCTTAGTGCAGCCATCTCCCACCTCCCTTAACTTCACACATCGATTTGTCTGTGTCGGGGGAGGAAAAGGATTTCTAATGCAATATGTATTGGTGAACTGAATAGAACATGATTTGGAAAGACCTTCTGGAAAGCTGTTTGCACAGGGAAGCATTTGAAGACAAAATGTGATTGTGTAGATAGGTGCACACAGCATAGCATTAGGACAAAGAGAAGGACTTCCGTTTTGATTAAAGCTGGGACACTGATGTGATGCAGCCATCTCATTGGTAGGAGTTGTTTCAATTTTCATGGTAAATAATGGGCACATTTCTGATTTTCAGAAATGTAATCAACTTTTAGTTGTTTGCATTTGATTAATGAAAAGCTTTTTAAGTGTGGCAGTGGTTTGGTACCAGCTTGATTACTCCCATTTGGAGGCTACAGGAGTAACAGCACACATGGCAACAGCACGCTTGGCTCAGGGTAGTGGCTTGCTTTTATGGTGCTTTAATGTTGCTATTTGAAATAGCCAGGGACTTGGTGGACAGTGTAAGAGGAATGCACATTTCCATTTTGAAAAAAAAAGGTGCAGATGAGAGTGGGGAAGTCAAGTCAGGAGCCTCCAGAGGAGGAAGCTGTCTTGTGGCATTGGAGAAACAGCAAATATGAGGCAGAGAGACTGTGGAGAAAAAATAAAAGGTTGACCTGTTCTGTTTTCAGTTTAATTTGTCCTTTAAAGTGATGTTATAATAAATGATCGTTTGCTTATGTTTTTCTAAGCAAAGGTATGTTTTCCTTCTTTAACAGGGCAAAAAGGATGTTTCCCAGATATTCAACAACATCTTGAGAAGACAAATTGGCACACGCAGCCCTACTGTGGAATACATTAGTGCCCATCCACATATCCTATTCATGCTTCTAAAAGGGTAGGTGCTTTAATTTGAGTTTCATTAAAGAGAATTGCCTGGAACATGCTGGCATTGCAGTTGATCTACTTTCTCACTTTTAGATTAAAAAACAAAAAAGGATTTTCAGATTTTGTTCCAGATTTCTTACTTTATTTTTTTCGCATTGAGTTTCTTTCTATGGAACTCTATATACTTCATTTGCCTGTAATTTCTTCACCAGACTTCAGGTTGAAATAGTTATATGCTGGTTGTTTTTGACTGCTCCCCATGTGATGTGTACTTCATTTCTCACCATAAACTCTTATGCAGCATTGTTGGTGACTGCTCAGGTTCATTTAGACCTTTTTGCATTACAGGAGTGACCAAGAGTGGTGTCTGTAAATAACTGGAGTCAAACTGGAGCACTGTATGGTACAACAGAGAGAAGCAAAAATGCATTAAAAGAGTAGCTGTGCCTGTGGGACAGACTTCTCCAATGCGTGTGGCCACAAGTGAACTTCAACTTTAAATTAGTTCTGTAATTAACATCACAAATTACAGCATTAAATATTTTTTTTGGTCTTTTTAACCTCAGAACAGTGATGATAATTCTCTTCGTCATTATTACGAACTGTTTTTAATTTTATATGTATATGTAATCATTTTCTTCCCTTTTCTCTGTCTTTGCTTTTCCAGTTTTTCACTCATTTTGATCTTGCAGTTGAGCATGTACTGCTACCATATGTCTGGGCTTTATTTAAAGATAAAAAAATATTTTTGGATTATGTCCCAGATTTTCTTTGGCATCTGTAGCAACCAAGAATATTAAGATGATAGTAAAGGTTTTATGCATATCTGCTTCTGACAGACATTTTACAGTAAGTGACCTGAGTTAGTGGATGAATTTAAATGGCATCACTTAGATGCTTTTTTTGGAGAATCCTGCTGCATGCAGCAGTGTGTCTGTGGTCCTCAGACTCCTTGTTCATGATGTCTTGACTAGCTCTCTGCAGCACTGCACTGGCTTAGAATTGCCATTTCTGGAATGTTTTGTTAAAAAGTGCAGTTGAATCCATCAGTAGAAGTCCAGAGTCAGCCCTGCCCAACCTGGGCAGCTGCTGCAGAACAGTGTAATGATGTCAGATGGATGATGCCTTCCTTGCCCGTGTCCTGCTGCTGGGACTGTCTAAAAATGAGACCCGAAATCTGTGCCTGCAGCCAGGGCAGGGCCCTGCACACACAGATTGCTGTGTGCCCACAGCACGGGGTGTGTGTGTGCAGTCAGCTGCAGGACTGGGAAACAAGCCCCTCGTGTTAGGCACCACTACGTGGAAATGTGACTTGAGGACCTATTTTCTTCTTTATTTAATGCTGAATGAATTATATAATTTATATTATATAGATATATATTTATATAATGCTATAGGAAATATAGGATATCAAAATCTCCTAAAGGAAAGTGGGTTTGATTGCCTTGTGCCATTTTGAGTTTATTACATGACGTCACAACATTACCTGGAGAGAAAAAAATCACCTCTGCCATGACTATAAAAAAATGGCCTAAGAGTACTCTGACTGCTGTACTTCTATTGGATGCAAAATTTCCTCGGCCTCCTGTCAGTCCCCAAAAGCAAAAGGTTGCTTTTTTGTGGCTTAATGTGAGCTCTACTGGGTGGGAAGGATCCTCAATCAGAGCTCCCTCCCAGTGTTTCCTGTCTCATGCTCCAGTGGAACTGCCAGCTTGAGATAACAGTTCCTACCTTTTAGGCTTCATTTTACTTGTTGCCTGTTTCCTTCCAGCTTCTCAGCTTCAGAAAACACACAGCACATAGTTCACTTTTTTTCCTTTCTTTCATTTGTGTAAGTTATTTGACTTTGCTGCTGCACCAGGACTTGCTTTGTGTATAGGATTTCACCTGAATGCAGGCTTTTGTATATAGGATTTCAGATGAGTACAGTATTTGGTATGCATAGAGAGTCACTTGTATTTGGGCCAATTTTTTTCTCTGGTGTCAGCCTATTGCATTAGCCCAGAAATAACTTTGGTCCTTTGTAATTTAAATTATTTTCCCTTTAGGATAGTGACTGTTGAGGGCTGAATTTATGGCATTGGCATTGTTTCTCTTAAGTGACAAATTTAGAAGCTTCTTTATGAATATATATGTGTATATATATACATATATATATATATATAAAATATAATGCCACATGCTATCTCTACCCTAGACACTGTGTTGTGATGATCTCTTTATATCACAGTGCAGTTAGAACTTTAATGGTATATTGGCTGAGGTTGCAGAATTTCCCTTGAGTTTATCCAAGGATAAACTCAGGCTACATAAGTAGTGTAGAATCAGGTCAGAATATATCTGTTTAAGACCTTGTGTCTCCCAGGCTTGATGCTTTCTAAATCTCCTGCCTGTGCTCTTCCCTTGTACCATCTTCTGCACTAACCATGGAAGAATTATTCCCTTTACACAGAAATTCATTTCTGCTCTCAGTCTTGCCTCTTTCAAACTCCACAATAAGTGTTTTGAAATACTTCAAGTCCATTGTTTCATTTTCTAGTTCTCTCCAGTATTCACTGTGTGGGGGTTTCTTTAGGTTCCAAGTTCATCTAAACAGAGAAGAACTCAGTATTTTTTTCTGTTGTGGAAATACATCAGCATAGAGCACTAATTGCTCATTAGAAATGATTTTGAAACACATTTCTATCATTTCTGCCTGGTGGCTTTGCATGTAAGTGTGGGTGCAAAGGACATGCTAGCTATGACTGGGCAGCCTGTAAACTTATTCCAGGCTTATTCCAGGTGCCAAACCCAACTTCCCTTGCTTATGTGAACAGCCAAAGGTCCATAGCCCACTTCCAGATAATGGAGCATTTGAGTAAGAATGATTCTGTTGATACTTAATGTTTTTAAAAGTTATTGTGCTGGAAACAATGTAATTTGCTTTGATTCCAACCAAAATATTCATTAGCCAACTATCAAATATTTTCCTGGCTGCACTCCTAGGAGCAGCTCTGCCTCATTTTCCTTAAAAATTAGTGTTCCTGTTAATGGAGTTGATGCCTCAATGGGAAACATCAGTGAATTTTTGCTGTCTGAAGAGTTAGAAATTCAAGCTGGCAAATGCTTCCCCAAACCAAAACAAATAGAGGTTTGAGTGCCTGCATTTCCTTGAGGGTGGGAAGCTTCATTTGCCTGTTTGGAATAGCAATGCATTTTCATTAAGCCAACTATTGTTGACAGCAGGTTGAAGTATGCAGCTCTGGTATGCTCTCAGAACACAACCGTTCTTTTAAATTGCAAGCTGGTGGTAAATTTGAGGGCCCACTCACTTACAGCACAGATGGCATTTTGTGTTTTTTTTTTCTTTTTTTCCTAATTGTATTTCTTTTGGCCTAGTGATAGGAATTAATTGTGCAAAGGAAAAACGATGCTGATAAGCTCTGGATGATAATACACAGTTCTTATATAGTATAACCAGTTTATTGAAACAGAGAGTGCTTTTTATCCCCTTGTACTTCACCACTTTCACATGATTTCATGATTTCAGACTGCTGGAAAAAGCTCATTTTAAGTCCTTCTTGACTGCTGGATTTCATCCTTTTAAAATGTGTTTCTAACAGTTTTGTTTCAGAATAATTTCAGCTTTAAAGAAATCAAGACTTTGTAGAAACAGAAGATGATCTGAATTGCCTCCCCCCTCCGTCCCTCCCTTCCTCTCCAAGGGCAAAATGTGTGCTGGCTCCTGGCTATTGCAGTCCAAGTGCCATAACAGGATTGTAACTTGAGGAATGGATGCTTGTGTCCTGAACACAGCCAGAGCCTCTGCAGATGACGAATTCAGCAGACCTTCTCCAAAATTGAAAAAAAAACCAACCAAAACCAACCAACCAAACAAACAAACAAAAACCCAAACATTTTCAGAGCTACAGAAAACTTAATCCTGCTAGACTGCCTGGAGAGACTCTTTTTACCTTCCTCCTTAATACTCTGGAGTGATGTCCTCTAGAAGAGGAGTGGGAGGTGATGGATGGTCATGAGGCGTTACAGTTTTCTTGGATAAACTGAGGAGCTCAGAATTAAATCTGAAAAGGGAGGTTATTATATTGTACGGGCTGTACTTTCTCACAAATCAAAAGGGTGAAGGAGCTCTGTTGAAATATTGCACACTCCCCACGGTCTTTCCACAGAGAGGAGGTGTAGTGCAAATTTACACCAAAATGTGTTTTGGCTTGGGAAGAGAGAGGTTTGCAATGACAAATTTTGTCAGCCTTATCTATGTGCCTGCTCCTGAGCTTTGGGATGAGGTCCTGCAGCTGATGCAGCGCTTGTGGCTGGGAGCTGCCCTCCATGTGTGGTGTCCTTCTGGCACATGTATTCCCTGTTGCTAGAAAGGTGCCTGTTTATCTTTGTTCTTCTATGTTTTGATGTTTTCTATTTCTCTTCATTCTCCAGATACGAATCTCCAAATATTGCCTTACGTTGTGGAATTATGCTGAGAGAGTGTATCCGCCATGAACCCCTGGCCAAAATCATACTATTTTCAGAACAGTTCAGAGACTTTTTTAAATATGTGGAAATGTCAACATTTGATATTGCTTCTGATGCCTTTGCTACATTCAAGGTAAATTATTCAATGCATGCATCATAGTTTGTGTCAAGAGCAGCTTTCCATCAGAGATCATCAGTGTGTTGCTTTCAACTGGGTGCTTTTTATTGTTTAGTAAAGGATATAATTAATGAACCCTGATTGTAGCAGGAGTCACAACAGTGTTCCAGTCTGCAAAGAATCTTTAGAGAAATGTAAATTTGTATTTAACATTTTTCACCTTGATAACCCATGGCCTTTTATGCTACCTTTTAAAACTCAAATTAATCATGTATTACACACAGTTCTTTAACATGCATAACCTTTTTCTCTCCCTACCTTCCCCCAAGACAAACCCACTGCTCATCATGACCACATGAGTAAATAGAAGGCATCATTTAAAACTAAGCTTTGAAATAATTGTAATTTTTGCTGTCCCTTCTGAGCTCAGCAGTCAAGTTTAGATTAATGCCAAGCCTGCTGATTATTTTACAATGTATTAATAGTCATACTCTTGTGACCCATGGTTCAGTGTAAGGACTGTAGTGCTAAAAGCTAAGTAGGTGGAAGCACTGCTTAGGTCTGAAGAATGTAGAGTGCACTGTGTAGAGTTTGTGTTGTATTAAAAATGAAGTTGGGTGAAGTTGCCAAATTTCTAGGACTTTGTGTGTGACCATCCTTCCCACCAGGTGCTAGTACAGTCTTAGAGAAAAACAAACAAACAAACAAACAACAACGAAAAAGAAACCCAAAAAAAACCCCAAAATATGATGCCTGTGAACGTCACATACAGGGTGGATTAATTTATTTCTAAAAAACGGTTTAAGAAAGCTGAGGGAAAATCTTTTTAGTTAAAGACTTTTCTAAATTTAGATCTAACTCCTTTTTTTTCTTCTATCACTGAGCTCCGTGCTGTCATAGAAACACATTGTTTATTCTTTCCTTTCAAAGCTAATTAGAAGCACGATCAGATAGACCTCAAGAGTAATTGTAAGGAATGTTAGAGCTCAGCTCAGTGATTCTACATACACTGAAACCTGGCTTTTTACTGGTGTTTACTAACCTACTGAATGGGATAAAAATTTGCATAATGGAGATAACATTGCATTCTTCAGTAATGACTTGAGCAGGATTAGCAATTCAAATCACCCCTTAATCAGTTGCAGCATCTTTCCCTTATTGTGAGTTTTGCTGTTTTGGTGTCTGTTAGGTAAAGGTTATGAAATTCATAGTAGCACAAAAACACAGATAAGGTATAAAAATGCAACATAACTGAGGTATTTAAATCCTCTGTTTCTGGCATTTTACCCTATGCTCAGAGGAATATTTGTCTCTGGCCAGAAAAAGTGTTCCTGGACTCAGTTCCCAGCTTGACAGAAGAGATTTGCATCTTCTCCCCAGATCCTGCTTTGAGCAGGACAGCAGAGTGCGTTGGTGGTGATGGACAGTCTTCACCCCAGCCAGGAGGCAGGATGGGGACAGGGGTCAGTTAAGCTGTGGCAGGACTGTAGATTGCTACAACCCTCCCAAATAGAAGAGGGATTGATGTTGTTCGTAGATCTACAGCTGTAGAATGTACTTCTGTCCTCTGTGAACTGAGTGTATTTTAAGCAGGATTTAAAAATAGGATTTTACATCCTCACATGCACTGGAAAGAGAGGAGTATGAGGGCAGTTCATCCTCGGACAAAGGACAGAAACCACTTTTTAAAATGTTTGGGGAAATGTATAAACGGCATTTCTAGGTTTTTTAAAAATTGTTTCTTAGCACCTGATGCATGGTCAGTTCTGGAAATAAACCAGCTGCTCATCATCTCATCTCATCTCATCTCATCTCATCTCATCTCATCTCATCTCATCTCATCTCATCTCATCTCACCTCCTATTTTTCTGTTACTCTGAATAGCTGGAACAGCAAAAAGTGATGTGGAAGCGATTTAATCATGAAATATGGAGCTAGCTCATTTCTAATACTGGAAAAATAAGTGCTGTGATTGTTTGCTGGCTGGATTACTGAACTCACGTTTTCATTTCTGTTGTCCTCATGTTGGGTTTCCACTTGCCACCAGGGTGTCTGGTTCAGAGCTGAAAGCCTTGGATAGTCTATGCACCAGAGGAGGGCTTAATTAAATGTGCATTAAAGTCTGAGGATATTTATAGTAGGGAAGCACTAGAATTTTTTATGATCTGGAGATGTACTTCTTAATTAAGGTTATCCAGGTGCACTGCAGAGAGGAAACAGAGCTGTTAAAAATGCAGAGGAAAAGGGTTTGTATTTCAAGGTATAAGGTGGCTGTGGAGGGTGCAAGCAGCAGTTGGAACGTGCTGGCTGAATGCTGCTACTCCACACTTCCTCGTCATTTCCTATGAAAAACTCATTTTGGTTTATATTTCATTTGTGCCCCCTGTTGAAGGACTTGTACTTGCCTCTAAGTGCCCTGTATAAAAGCTCCTGAATCACATGTTTCACTCAGCCTTTAAAACTGCTGTCACTGCAGTCCTGCTGAATGAAGGGATGTATTTAAAACAGGCACTGGATTTTGTAGTGCTCTGCTTTCCTATTATAATTGATGGTAAAAATAAATTAAAGGATTAGTATGTAAAGGATTTCTTTTATTTGTGAGGATGTATCTGTCCATCTGCTTGAGCTCCTCATCAGCTTCAGTCTCTGCCTGGGTAGGAAACCAAGAAAAAGATTACAAAAAAGAGCAGAAACTGATTCTGAAAAAACCTGAAACTGAAAAAAACCAACTTGAATGGACTTCATCAGGCATTTATTGCAATCAATGTTATGTTTTAAAAGAACCAGTGAGATAAAAATCATACTTAAATTCCTCGTACTGGCCGCTCATTTGATAGCTATTCATCCAGTAAAAAGACTCTTCTGGAGATGAACATTTGCATCTCTGTCACTGAGCACGCATCCCCATTCTGTGGGAGAGGTTCTTTTAATTTAAATTTGAATTAGTTGGCCTTCTGGAATGGGAGGCAGTCTGTCCAGCTGTCTGAAATGTCCACTGCTGCTTTGTGTTAGAAAGCCAACCTTGGGCAGAAAAAGCCCTACAGAAGAGACTCATCCCACTTACCTGAGACTCGTTCCAGGGAAGGGAGTGGAGGTGGAGGGAACCTGGATGGCTTAGGTTGGGTCCTAGCTTTCATTATTAAACAGTTGAATGCATATACAGTGGTTGAATTTGAGTTTTCCTTGTTGTATTCTTGGAGATGAGCAATAGCAGTTCAGGCTTAACATTGTTCCCAGCTGTGAGGTAGCAAGTAGATCACTTTTGGCTTGGAGATCATAGCTCGTCCTCTCTAAAGGGTTAATTTAATTTCTTCCTTTTCCCCATCCCTGTTTAATGTGAGTACTGTGAACTATAACTTATCAACAAGAAGAAAAGGTGGGAGGGAAAAAGGAATAAAAAGAGTACTAGAATAGTTCTACATTGATTCTGTTAGCATGACATTAACTGAGTTCTCCCTAAAGTCCTACTAAATACATAATGAATGCAGTGTTGTCTATAGAAATCATGTTGTAAATGCCTTCTGGTCAAAAGTGCTGAAACACATTTGAGAATCAAGGGACAATCACAGGCACTCATTCTCTCAGGTAACCTTTCTCTGTTCTTCCCCAGGACCTGTTAACGCGACACAAATTGCTGGTGGCAGAATTTCTGGAACAAAATTATGATGTAGTAAGTATCAATGCTGGAAGACTTTTAAAAAAATCTATTTATGCTTGGCTGGAAAAAAAATGCACAAGGGGTTTTGTGCTCTGCATAAACTCCTCACATAGAGCTGCAAAGCCAAACACTGCTTTGTACTGGAGCAGAATCTGTGCCTGGCATGTGAAATGCAGATATTCCCTCTGCACAACCTGAGACACACGCCAAGAAAACAGGATTTGATTTCAGGAGAAATCAAAGGTTAAGAGCAAGTTTTATTCCTTGCTGTGTGCATCAGATCTCCTCATGCGTGAATGCAACTGAAACTTTGCATGTAAACAGATCATGGGAGAAAACTTGTCCATGATTTTAAGCAGTTTTGTGATACTCCACCACCGACAGGGCCACACCAGTGTTATTTATTGTACTTTGGGAGAGGAGAAGAGTTACTGAAACAAGGTTTAGTATTACTGGAAATTACATGTACCTAAACGAGGGACTGAGGTCTGAGTATTCCTATTATCTTCCTATGGCAATTAGTTCCTTGGTTAGCTGCTATTTTTCACGTCGATTTTTTGGCTCCCTTTTGGACCAAATGTGGGTCAGAAAAATTCCATTGGATTCAACTAAAATTGGATTGATACAGATCATGGCATTAGACTGTGGGTTATGTTTTCATGTTACCTGAGGTATTCTTTATTTCATTGCCAAAATGAAAAGACAAATTTCTTTCATTCTGGTTACCACGAAGGTTAAATAAAGAGCAGGCTTATTATTGCTGAGTCATTAATGCAGCTTAGCTGGAGCAAAATAAGTGTCTCTGCTAATCTTTTCATACTGAAGCACTGCACTGGAACAGTCCTCATTCTACATTTATTTGACGTTTTAAATTTCTAAGTATCAATTGCATAAGTGAGGGGTTTTTTGGTTGATCTTTGTTTTTTGGTGACTATGGGACAGCAGTGTTGATTTTTCCTGCTTGTTTGGTAGATAGTTTGAACATTTTGCAGCCTTCTCTCTCAGTCTTCCTGACCACAGGATCCCCTTGGTCCATCCCTGCAAAATCCAGCACACACTTTGCTCCTAGTGACCCTTGCTGGGCAAAGAGCTTTAACGAGTGAGGGTGCTGAAGGCAGGCGAGGTGGCACCTCACAAAAGGAGCATTTGGGATGCCCATCACCATTTTGGGGTGTTGTATTGAGTCACACAGCCAGGCACAACCATGATATGAGTGCGTGGACAATAAGTGCTGGACCCACATGTCCTGGCAGCAGAGTCACCCTTCTGTAAGAGAAGGCTGTCCAGGCACTGGCTTACTTCTGTCCCAGTTGGCTCACACCAGCCCCTGTTCCATCCAGTCCATATGTGGTATTCCCCCTCTGCAGCACTTGGAAGAGGAGTGTTCCTGGGCGTTAATTCACTGCATGATAACCAGCCAAGAGAAAAGGCCACAAGAGCTGGGCCTGGCATTGCAGTGAAGTGTTAGAGGGTGGCACTGCTGCCACCTCTGCTGCCCCTCTGGGTGAGAAGGACCAAGAGAAGGAAGAATGGACATGAATCTGACACATTTGTGTTTTCTTGTTATTCTAGATCTTTGAGGATTATGAAAAACTCCTTCATTCTGAGAATTACGTGACAAAGAGACAATCTTTGAAGGTAATTCCTCTCAGCACTTTCCTCCTAAATTTGTACTCTGTGTTATGCAGAATATCAAGGTGTGTGTATGGCAATGGAGCAGCCATTTTTCCATCAGAAATAGAACTAAGGGCTTGTAATGATCTTCCTGAAAGGCACAGGAGCTCACTGTGTCTTTTCTTTCCTGGAGCTCTGGGAATCACTGAGCCATTTCTATGGAACGAGCACTATCACTTCTCCTCTGAGCTCAGTCCTGTGCTTTGGTTCAGAACATGGGTTACAATAAACTTGGCAGTAACGTGTCAGTCTCTGTCTGGTGCACCAAGTGTGACATGGTCTGCACCTGGAAGCAGAGGGGGGATGTGAATGTAACATGGGAATGGAATGAGGGTGTCTTTGTGGGACAGCTGCACACACATGCTTTTGTCCCAGCTGCTCACACCAGCCCCTGTTGTACCCAGCCCATATGCAGGATCCCTCTCTGTAGTATTTAGAAGATGAGCATTATTGGGCATTAGATAACCCACTGCATGATAAAGAGTCTAGTTCGTTTTTTTCTTCTTTTTTTTTTTTTTTAAGGTAGTGACATTGAAACATCTTAAGCAAATATTGCATTCAAAAACGACGTGGTGAACTGGAAAAAAGTGGGTTTTTTTTCTAATTGTGCTTACAGCTTCTGGGTGAACTGATTCTGGATCGACACAACTTTGCCATCATGACAAAATACATCAGCAAGCCAGAAAACCTGAAGCTGATGATGAACTTGCTGCGAGATAAAAGCCCCAACATTCAGTTTGAAGCATTCCATGTGTTCAAGGTGAGCCAATAGGAATTGTAGAGGTGACCTCTACAACTTTCTCTTCTCCTCATTAAAGTGTCTTTCAAGCTGGACAAGAAAAAGTCCAGAAAATTAAGGCAAAAGTTGGGTTTTACAATCACTTGCAGTGTTTGAGAGTGTCATAATTGAAAAGGTTTCTATCACTCATCTTCTGATTTTGGTTTGCCTGCCTTCAGGTAAGACCAAAAGCAGCATCATTTTGGTTTGAGCTGGAGGTTGTCAGTCAAGTAGCCATGAGCTACAGGTAACAAAATACACAACTTCTAAGTAGTATCCAGGGGACCTTCTCCCCACTCCTGGATAATTTTACCATGTGATTCTGGGTAAAGATAAAAAAAAGGTCTTAAAACTCTTCCTTAAGACTAAAGATAGGTGATGCTGGTGCTGGGCATCAGTGCAAACGCAATACGCTTTTACAGGAATTAAAAGGGTTTGGTAAATCTGAGCTTGAAATGAGTTTCATCCTTCCATCATTTTGCAGTGACATTAATGCAGTGTTAAACAATTACCAGACCCAACCAGTGTCCCTTTTATCATGATGATCAATGTTAATAAGTTAGAAGTTTGCCATTTTCCTATCAAAATAGTTCTCTGCTCTGGAATAGAGGGTGAGTCAGATTGTTATGCAAAACTAACTCTCATTTGGAATTAACACATTAATTTCAAACTATAAATAGAGCTGTTAATGATTATCAGAAGAGGAATTTTGAGCCTCTAAGGATATCCCTTCCCTAAGAGGGCTAAGTAAGATGCCATAAAATACCAAATGGCTGTGGAAAGAGGTTACAACACCCTCCACAAATTCAGGGTTACTTGTTGAGTTTTGTGCTTATGCCATTTCTGATTTGGAAAAAAAACTTTCAGATATTCAGTACAGAGACTTAGACAATGTGAAGCTTCTCTGAAAAGCTTTTAGCTTTCTAAAGGAAAAAAAAAAGCTTCAAGGACAATTAAAAGAAAATTCCTATCATGAAATAAGCAGCTTGGTAAGCTGCTCCGTTGCTGACTTCCTCCAGTCAACCAAACCACTGTGAGTAACTTGTACTCCTCCTCCTTATCTGGAGGTGTGTGGCTCCAAGATAAGCGAGCAGTCTGGCTCCAGACACTTGCAGCCTTTGAGATGCCAGTGGGGAGAAGTTATCAGAGGATTGGGGTTTCTTAGCCACTCATTAATTAAATGCAAGATTTTTATTTAGGAAGGACACGAGTTGCTGTTCCTGAATTAATGATAGGCATGGACCAGGTCTTGGGAATGGCTGATTTCACTTATTTTAGGAGGCATTTAAAAGGACTTAGAATAATGTAAAAGAATTGCAGTGTGCAACCATGTCACACATTGCTGTTCCTCCCATTCTGCTTTCTCATTCCTCCCTTCCAGTATGTTGCATCCCATTTCCAGTTAGAGTGGGGGTATTGCAGGCTCATCCTTGCTTGACCACTTGCAGTTGCTGCCATGTGGACATAATACTTGGACCTCGGAGTGCCAGAAAAACAAACACTGACCAACAGTGGTGTTGTGTCTCTTCAGTTCAAAGGGCCAAATTCCGTCCTCAGACACGTCTGTGGGATGTTGTTGGTCTTTTCCAGTGGTACCAGTCAGCAGCAGCATTTCAGCAGGGCCAAGGCATTCCCATGGCATTCCTCACACTGCCTCACACACACAGTGCTCGTTGTGGGGGAGCTGCAGACTCAGAGCAGAACCTGATCAGCTGGAAACTGCTCGTCCACAACCACCAGCAGCACACTATCGAGTAGCTGTATCGAGTAGAGGTGCAGCAGCTCTCCTTTTAGGATCCTCCTCACCGAGGATCTGGGTTCCTTGCATAGAGCAGCATCCAGGTCCTCCCCAGGAGGAAGGGCTTGTTACAGAAAATTGCATTGTGAATTGGCTTTGTAGAGAGGGTCAGAGAAGCTCTTTTCCCTCTGATTTCACATCTTAAATTGAGTTCTAACTTCTTGAGAACTACTGAAATCCTTACGTATTTAAGAGGCTGGCTGTTTTTGCCCTGTTCTGCAGTGTCCCTGCCTCCTGTTTCTGGGTGTCTCTCAGCCCTGTTCTCTTGTCAGCTGTAATATTCCATCTTAATGTAACTGGGAGAGGAATCTTGTCCTCAGCTTCTAATCTCATAAATTTTAAACTGTGCCTGCATTTTTAAATTATGCCTGCAAAATACCAACGCAGTCCTGGCTGAAATTACAGTAGACTAACCACAATGATTTGGAATCAAAGGTCTGCTGAGAAGTGGATACTTGCTGCTCTGTCTGAGCTGCCAAAAGATTTGGGTTTAAATTACCTGATTTAGATGTTTCACCAGTTAGACACAGCTGAAATGAAAAAGTGTTTGTTTTGTAAGCATACAGATTCCAACACTCCCATGCCCCAGCTGACCCAAAAAAAGGCTCATGACTCTTACTCCCTGAGGCGGTTTCTAATTATTGTAGATTTGAAACTGTAAGATAGAGATGAAAGTGATGAGCACTTCTAGTGCAAACTTATTTTGGAGGAACATTTTGTGGCTGAAAATGCCAATACCCCCAAGCTCTGAGAATATTTAATTCATGCAACTTACTGTGAGTGGGAAAATTAAGACAAAGTGCCCACTTGCAGTGCCTCTTTCCATTCTCCATTTAGGAGATGGTTGTTCTTCCTCCAAACTCGAGCCCCTTCTCTTCTTTTGCCTGAAAAAAATGGACATTCTGCCTTGCAGCACCATCCTAAAGGTCTGCAGCTGCTTTGCAAAGCTGGATGTCCCAGGCAACGTATGCATAGGGATTACCCAGTATTTAATCATGAGGAAAAGCTAACACACTTCACCTCTTCCCTCCTCCTTCATAAATAATCCAAGGGGATCACTTAGAGTTGTAGGCTTTGAGAGTCACTGGTTCTTCTCTGCAGTGATTTCAGTGGAGAGATGTCAGTCTCAAGCACACACACTTTGAGGATCTCAGATCCTGTGGTGGGTTTGTGATGTGTTCCATTAGTGGAGCCTCCTTTGAGTTTGCATGTATGTGGGGAAGGCTGTATCTTTCAGACATATGTGAACATGGTGCAGGGATTCCTTTGACCTCACATATTCAAAAGCAAAGGATGAGAACAGCTGTCTTGGCTTTCACATAAACAATTTGCTGATTTTGAGGAAAACACCCTGTAGCAGTAAGCTGGGATTGTGCGACTTTCTTGCTCTTAAGGAGACATTTAGCAAGATATATTTTACTGTTTAAATCTAAAAATAGAATGGGTACACTGTGTTTTGTGACCTCAGTTTCATTTTTCCATTCTCTTTCATGCACATTACGAGCTACCTCCTGCAGCTTGCTCTGCAAATGGCCTCACATAATTTGACCATACTGACAGTTTGCTCTTGGTACGAAGCTGAGGCTGTGTTTGTGGGGATGTGTCCTCTCTGTTTCTCAGCTGGATAATCTAAAGAGCAAGGATTATTATGTGAAGCATTGTGCTATAAGCAGCATGAACCCTGTGTGTCCTGTGTGTGCAGTGTCCTGACAGTGACATTGTGCATGACCCCAGAGTAAGTCCTAAAATACTCAGTCCAGGGCATCCTGTAATTGCTCTTGCTCTGCTGCTGTCCCAGAAGATGCAAATGCCTAGTTATTAATTGTAAGGAAATAAAGTCAAGTTCTCTAATCAAGTAATTTTGATGCTTGTTTGAAGAAATGCATTAGGACTTTTAATGGAGAAGGTAGCAACAATTGCACTTTGGACAACTTTTGAAGCTTGAGAGTTGATTTTCATTCCAGGCCTTTTGCAAATACTCATGAGATGGAGCTGCCTCTGTTTTGAGACAGCTATATTTAGAGCTGGAATTTTTATATGGTACTGTCTTTCTTTTGGGTCTCTGTCTCTCTCATCTATCTCAATTTAGTGCTCTAGAACATACATATTTTCATAATAAAACCACAGGTGAAACCAAGTTCTCTGTGGTCCTATCTAACTTCATTTTAGTTGAAATGTTCCAGATAGCATTAATAATGTTTCTGGTTTTAGGAATTGAACTCCTTCTCTATGACAATGCAGAGTTCTGAATGAGAGGCATCCTTTTAACATAAAGCCTCATGGTGGTCCTACTCCTGGGCTCTGTGAAACTGGTCAGTTGATACTGGCAGAATTGATTTTGTTTGCTTTGCCAAAGTATTGAATAACATTTCAGGAATTTTCTGGTCCTTGAACATTCTCTCTTTACGAGTCCCTGTTGACACTGAGCAAGACTGGCAGTTGAGATGATCTTTGTTTGAATGTTCACTTTGCCAGTTTTGTAAGGGGAAGATTGTAATCTATAAATAATTGAGCAGGAAGATAAACAGGATGTGATGGTTTCCATGAAATTAAGTTCTTTATTATTTGCTGTGGTAATACCAGTGGTAGGTCAAATATGAAATGCTATTTACTAGATTTACCACCAACCTTGCAGTTCTGTTTGCAGAGCAGAGAGCTTTTACAACAAGAATTATTTAGATTTCTTCATTTTGAGAGTCACCCTTCAGGTAAATATTAGAGAGGCCTAATATTCATTGAGGAAAGATGTTCAGCATGTCAAGTTCAGGCCTTCTTTGATGGCTTCCATTTGCATTGTCATCAGATGATTTCTGAACATGTGGGTCCTGCCAGTGTATTTGATGGTTTCTTCACCTTGTCACCAAGGGGGAACTGAATTCCAAAAAAAAATTTTATTTTTTAAGATCTTATTAAGATCTGTAAATCCCTGCCTGTAGGCTTAAATCTTGCTTTTCCCCAAGGCAGCTCATCCAGATGACTGCGGATTTATCATAGTCCAAATCCTGGAAGTGTCTGGCTTCCATCAGCACGATCACCTGCTGTAGGTCAGCACACAGGGAGCTGCATCCTGGGGCTGCTCCAGCTGAGAGCATGAAGTGCTCCAGCCTCATCCAGAGACCAATGTCCATATTCAGGAGATCTCAAGATCCATATTCTCTAGATAAAGCACAGACTGAAAAGCTGTAAAGTACATTCAGATTTACATCTCCGAACCCTTTTTCTCCCAGTCTAAGGGGAAACCAATGCATTGGTTCAGTGTATCAAAGTTATTTGCAAAGGAGGAGATGCTGCTCTCAGATGCTGCAGCTGTTGAGAGTCCCTCAGGTGTAGTGAGAGCTGTGAACTGCCTGCTCCACCCACAGGGAGATGTGTCCCTGGTAAGAGGCTGCCCTGTGAGTATTTCGGGCATTGTGCAGTAAAGTGGCTGCTCAGAAGGGATCCTTGGGAGTGGAGGCTGTTAGTGCTGCACTTGAGAAGTTTAGGTGGCAAGTGGGAATAATTTAGGATGATAGCTCAGGGTGATTAGAGAAGGGCAAGGTTGAGGTCTGTGTGAATAACTGTAGATAGTGTACTGTCACTGGGACTATGGCCTGGACACTAGATCAAGGAAAACTTTGTAATACACTTGGGGAGTGTTCACTCAGCATGGCAGAGGTTGCAGCTCTTTCTGCAGAGCAGAGGGCAAAGCACCTTGCAGCAGGGACCCTAGGAGTACCCTGAGGAGGAGGGATCCAGAGCAGACAAAAGCAAAGACAGATATTAAGATTATTCTAGCACCAGGATGCCACAGTTTAAGAGAAGATGCTTTGCCTCACCTTTGTGAAATGAAAAAGTACTTCTAGCTTCCTGTTTGGGCAGAAGTACTCAATGGGGTTCTGTTGGTGTATGTTGAATCCCACTCCTTCCACATGTTCTCCTGATCTGGCACTTTCCCCACCACTTGTATAACATCTTCTGATTTTGGAGTATGAAGCCTAATGGTGGGTCCAGTCTGAACTCTGCTCCAGCCTTTACCAGGTGCCATAGGTGCCATCTTAGGGACAAGAGGCTGTAGCACAGTCCCCCAGGACAGAGTGTGAGTGATCTTCATCAGGTAGCACAACTCCTCCCTGAGCAGCTGGATGTGGCTCAGGTTCTCCTGTGGGCACAGCCTCAAGGGAGACAAAGGGACCTGCAGAAGAGCCCCAGATCGGGAGCCAGCGGTGGTGCCGCCTGTGCTCGGCAGGACAACATGCCATTCTGTACTGTCAGCAGATGTTTGTTTTCATTCTGCTTTGGACAGGCTTGGAGGGAAACTGGATGCTTGCCAGTCCTGTCCATCCTTAATTTCTTCTCATGGGGTAGAGAATAACTGGAGTTATTTCTGTCGTTGCACAAGCGCTCAGGCGGTGTTTGTTGACCAGCCATGGTAACCTCGGTGGAGCCAGATGTGGGAGCTGCTCCCGGGGTGGCCGGGGTGCGCTGCACGTGTGTTCCCACCGCGCGCCCTGTGCCCCGTCTGCTCCTCCTGACCAATGTCCCACCAAAAAGAGCCCCATCTCTGTGGCATCCCGAAGTCCCTGAAAGAGCCTTTCCCCACTGCCTTTTGCAACCAGTCTTAGGTTAACACTTAACCCAGAGTAAATGTTAAAGAACCAGTGCTGTGGCATGAGGGGTCATGTTCAGAGCTGGAAGACTGCAGCTTTAGTGATTACAGGAGGAAAAACCAGAGCACTGAAGAAGGCCAGTAAGCCCACAGTGCTGGGCTGGCTGTGCCAGGTGAGTATCTGTGTCTCACGTCACCTTCCTGCATTGCCACCCTCCTCTGGTCAGCAAGGGCTGCAAAGGTGCTGGGCACACCACAACCCTCCTGCTCCTGCTGCTGTAAGTTTCCATGCTCCCATGAATGGATTAGGAAGAGGGAAGTGAGGCCTCTGACATATTTTTCCAAACCAAAACAAAGCTGGCAAGTCTAATTTTAGGCCTGGTTTAATATGGAAATGCTATCAATACTGACACAAAGCTTTTCCATTCTCCTGATAATTAATTTCTGTGTATTTGTCTTGTGGGTGGGAAGAGGCTGAGAATTGATAGCTCCCTCTAACAGCTGGGTTTACAGTCGAAAGCTTTTATCCTCAAAGAGCAAAATGAAAGGGAAGCGATATCACACGTGGGCATAGTTTTGCTTCAGTTTGCTGTTGAACCAACACGTTTGAACTCCAGTCTGCCTGCCTTGGGACAAGGTGTGCAGCAGTGGAGTATCTGCCTGCTAGCCCTCAGTTACTTAGAAAGTAACTTATGGGGATGTTGTGACTGACCTTCCTCTATCTCTCTCTCTCTGTTCCCACCCCCTTGCTGTCTCTCTGTGCCTGATTTTGTTTGCATTTAGGTTTTTGTGGCCAGTCCAAACAAAACACAGCCTATTGTGGAGATCTTGTTGAAAAACCAACCCAAGCTAATTGAGTTTCTGAGCAATTTCCAGAAAGAAAGGACGGACGATGAACAATTCACTGACGAGAAGAACTACCTGATAAAGCAAATTCGAGACTTGAAAAAGCCAACGGCATGAAGAACACCTCTTGTTTTCCACTGTAGGCATTAATCTCAGTTGTTAAGTTCCTCTGTGTCCCTTAAACACCACAATAGTGCTTGAGATGGCACAGCAAGTGCCTGGTTTATATTTTGTCTTTGTTCCTAGATGTCAAGAGTATAGGGGTTTTACATGAGAACTAAAAAATCAAAAATCTAGAATAATATATTATTTTTAATCAAGACTACAATTATTTATGTCAGTTTAGAATCTCTGTAATAGAAGCTGGTTTGACAGGTTTTTTTTTGTGCTCAAGAAGAATGAACCTCTTTGCTTAACTTTATCAGCAAACTCAAGCACTGGCAAGTGCACAGAGCAGGTCTTCTGAGGACTGTGTCATTGTCCCTGCACACCTGTAGTTGTGACTTGGTTCTAGCACTGCACACACACAAGACTGTGAAAGAGTACATTGGTCTTTGGAGTTAGCTGCACTTATAGGTCAGATTCTTTAGTGAAAGCTATGGAAGATGAAAAAGCAGTAAAGGTCATGTTTTTGCTTTATTTTGTGTTCTTTCATCTTTTTTTTTCCCTAGATCAGAGGTTTTCTATTCAGTGCTAGGGAATGGATGGATGTATCAGCCATCTGAGCTGTTTCTGCCTAACTCCCATTTCCCTGTGTATGATCTATCTTGTGCTAGAGCACAGGCTTTTGTGACCAGCTCCCAGCAGTCTCATGAGGAGCAGCCCCCTGTACACAGTGTTCAGGTATCCCGTAATGGGAAAAGGCAAGGGCAACACCCCTCTGTCAAAGGCTATGCTGCATTGTTGATCAAGTGATCCTGCACCTACAGAAACCATCCATAGTCAAGAATATTGGGTGGTAGCCAGAGCTACTTGGCTGAATTGTGGCAAGGGCGGAGCCTCAGCTCCAGAGTGAGAGGAAGGTCCTTAGCATCTTTCCATCTGAATTTCAGTCCTGGCTGTGTGAGGTGGGGTTGAGCTGACTTCAGCAACGGAATCATGAAAAGGCCTCAGGCAGATCTGCTGGGTGGGCTGAGGTCCCTGAGCCTGCAGGTGCTGTCACAGCTGAGAGCATTCACTGGATACCAAGCCTGGGAGGCCACTGAGCAGAAACAGGCACCAAGGCCACCCCTAGTCTGGCATTTTCTGTTCGTGTTCATCCTGATGTGAATTCAGGTTCTATGTAAAAGTTTTAGAAGAGAAGGTTGTTGCACCATTAATGTTTTGAGTTTATTAAGCTCTATGGTACAGACAGTGTTTCCCTGGTGTGTTTGAAGAGTTTTTGGGGTCTTTAGTTTTCTAACAGAAAAATCTTATTCTGATGCTTTAGTAGGAAGTGAAGTTTGAGAGCAGAGAGTGGAAATTTCTTGAATTTTTCTGGAAAGACTAAGTTCTGAGTATTCCTATTTGCTGTAAGAAAGTTCTCTAGTTAAAACTCTAGCTAATGCTTCAGGTAATAGGTGACACTGAATTGTAAAAACAGAACATGCCCTTTTCTCTCATTAAACTGTTGTATATTGAGGTGACTGATACTTTAATTTATGTGCTTTAGAAAAGGGAAGAAACAGAACAGATTGTGGTCTCATTTTTTTCCAGATGTCAGATACACACAACAAATGTACATCCTAGGTGTCTAGAATTTAAAAAAAATATTTACAAGCTATTAAAGGCATGATTACTCATCACCGTTTATTTCTGTCTCTGGGGTTTTTTTCTCTCTTGCCTTTCTGGATAGCCAGACTCCATATAGTGCTAAATTCCTGCTCTCCTTTGCCAGCTGGTTTCAGCAGATGGAGCAGGATGAACACTGCTGTCAGAGCCAATGTTCTCTGAAGGATCACCTCTGCAGCCCTGGCTGGCAGGGGTCTGGAAACCCCAGCCCCAGCCCAGCTTAACCTGGCCATGAGCCTCACCCAACACCCACGGGTGGTGTTTGATGGCAGTGGTCACTTGCAGGTTGATAAGGGAGAGTCTCCAGAATCACAGTCCTTGGAGCCAGTCATTTAAGTCTGATCCACTGAGGTTTGGAGCTTGCATCTGAAGGGTGCTTGGCTGTGTTCTGAGCTCCTGGGGTGGGGCTGGTCTCCAGGGCTGGATTAACACAGAGACACGTGTCCATTGCCTCAGCCTCTGGAGTCACATGAGAACATTGGGCTTCCAGCCCGTGCTAGGAAAAAGTGTCTCATGGTGTGTTGCTGAGGAATGCCTGTCCTTGACGAAGGGAGTGTGACCCACACAGAGGTGCCCAGAGAGTCCGTGAGGGGTCACGCTGTGAGCGCTTTGTCTACATGGTCTGGACACAGAGGAGCACTTGACGAGATCCAAACCTGGCAGTAACATGAGGAGCGAGGTTACACCCTGGTGTCTGCGTAGGCAGAGATGTGTCAGGCCAACAGGGAACAGTGATGGACCCCAGCCCTGCAAAGGAAGCCTTTTCCAGGGCAAGGAGTCTTTAGACCACATGAGAAAGTAAGTAGTAAGAAGGGCTTGAGAAAAAGGGGATCTGCACGTGTCTGCAAGCCCTTGTAGCTTGTCTTACCAGAAACTAGTCCTGCAGTAGATCACACAACACATCTCAAAGTAGAGTCCTCCCCAAGCTCAACTTGAAAGAATAGAAAGCATAAAAATTGGTGAAGATGACGTTAAGCACCATAATAATATTTCACAGCAGGTGGGGATACATCCCTAATTAAATGAAAATTAGGTCTTTTATAATGTGACAGAACTCACAATTTCCTTTGGTAAATTCAGTCAAGGTGGTTCTTCTGCCTAAGGGAGTGCTCCTACCAGGAACTCACAATTTATCTGAAATTACTATCTGAGGGGGCTATGTGATTGCAGGATGTGGTTCATCAGAGCGAAGGCAGGAAAGAAGATTGTAAACTGGAAAGATAAAGGAGCTGGAGGAAGCCTCTCCATTCCATTCTGCACACAGCATTCAGGGGGGTTGGATCCCATGAATGAATCTCTGCCAACATACGATGTACGATCTTGCAATGTCAAACTTTATTTGATACAGCAGAGTGCCAGGAATCCTTGAACCATAAGCTTCTGTCATGGGATTTAGGCAGCTTGTGCTGAAATCAGGAAAATCTGATTAGAAGCAGCCACAGGCTCCCCAGAGTGTCCTGGTGTGTACAGCAGGGGGTGTGAACCCAGGAGAGGCCAAGGACTCTGGCCTTCCACAAATGTGGGCGTTGAGATCACTCGAGCCTCTTAATCTTAATTCTCCAGAAACAAGATCAAATGAGAAGGAAAGAATGACTTGGGCCTCTGCTATTATCTAATGATAACAGCACTCACAAGAGGGAGAGGAGATCCAGATCCCATTTGTTCTCTAGCATGTGCTTTGTTCTTGCTTATGAAATTGGAGCAGGGCTAAAAGAACCCAGGCCTCTTTCCAAGGGGTGCAGTGGTGTTTGGTCAGCAGAGAAGCTTTTTCTCTGGGCCAACAAATGCTTTATTTCTCTATCTGAAGCAGAAGCACTTCAACATTTTGGCTGAAAGCACCTTCCTGCAGAACATCTGATGCCTGGCAGTGAAAGTTGTTATGAGGCAGAGAGGAAGAGAGGATACCAGTTTTGGTCTCTGTGACATAAAAGGGAATTGTATGTAACTCACCCACTCCTAGACTAAGCATTCTTGCATAAAGATGCAGGTTTCCATGGACTGAGTATAAGGTGTCCCAGAGCCTCCAGTGGGAGGTTCAGCCCCAAGGTGAGAGACAGTTCTGTGTGCAAGAGCTGCTGTGGCCTGGGGAAGAGAAGGAGCTAAAGTCCTTCCCATCCCAGCCCAGCATCTAGCAAAGGCTCCAATCCCTCAGGGTCTGATGTGCAAGGCCACAAGACACCAGCAGCCAAAGCCAGCTCTGAGCACAGTTGGTGCTGGGCAGGCAACATAAGGCAGGCTAAGGGGAAACTCAAAACAAGGTTAGCAGTTTGGCCGTGTGGTTCAGCTCTAAGCCAAGCATCTCACAGTGTTGTGACTTGATCCAGCTCCCCCAGGAGCCCCAGGGAGAGACAGGCCGTGAGCCCAACCCTCCTGACTCATGGTCCTGCTCCACAGTGCCTGCCTTGAGCTAGCCTCTCTTTCCAGGAATGGGAAAGGAGGAAAAGCAATTAAACAACCCACCCCCTTCCTATGGCATTGGTTGAGAGAGGCTTTCCAAACAGAGTAAAAATCACCTTTCCCACCTCAGGCTGTGTTGCACTGAGTGGCAGCAGGGAACAGCCTGTGCCGGGGGTGTAGCACCAATGCCCCCACACCTGGCTCAGTAAATAAAGGCACTGGGGACTGGGACAGGTGGAGTGCCAGCACATCCTGTGAAACAGCGGTGTGCCTTGCCCTGTCACCATGCTGCAAGAGCCCCATGGCTGTTTCCATTGCCCTATGGGCACTGGCAGCGCTGGGAGGGCTTTGCTGCTGAGCATTGGCGCAGGAAAGTCCCGCGCTGCCCTCGCTGTCTGTGAGACTGCACACCCCTGCTGTGGCACATCAGGCATGACCAGGTGTCCCACACGGTCTCCACCTCCTCCCTCCCTCGGTGTACCAGTTTTGCACTTTGGCCCACAGGCCCGTGGGATAGGGTGTACTTTTCTTCAGAGCCTCTCCCCCAAGCGCAGATTTGGGAATGAAATTTCTAAATGTCATTGTCCCATGGCCAAAAATGTAATCCGTGTATTTTAACTGCCACACTGTGCCTCCAGCATGTTGAGCTTTGACAAGTAGTTGGACACAACCAGTCCCTGACTACCAAGGTGACAGGTAGGAACAGTTTTTTGGCTGCACAACAGACAGCAGCCCCGTCATGGCATCATAACCCAGCTCCTCACAGTTAAAGAAACAAACCCCTCCCAAATCCTCAAAGCAGCTCTCCCGGGGAGGGCTACCAGTATGCCAGTGAATAGAGTTATTTCTTCTGAGTGCATGGAGAAGACAGCACCTTGTCTTTGAGGCTATGAAGTGCCTTACTCAACTCTAATGAATAGAGGTCTTTTACTTCCAAATTGCTGGGTACATTGCCTCTACTGACGCTCAGCTTTGGCAATGCCCTTCAACTCCCTTGTAGAACAGCTGGCTTGACAAGCGTTTGGAGCGGATTTAAAAATACCGTTGTCAAAGCAGAGCCCACTGCATCTGTTTGTGCAAACATGCAGTCAGGGTTGGCTTTTCGGCACACCCCGGCACAGCCCTGCCCCGGCAGCCAGCAGGGAGCAAACAAATCCAGCCTTTGCTCAGACAGATGGTCAGATGCCCAACAGGCTCTGTATGCCTGGGACAAGCAGGAGCCTGCAAGGAGCAGGGCCCTTGAAATCCCATGGGGGAAGTGGAGAAAGGCATCTCCTCCCCATTTTAAAGCTGGGTGTGGGGAAAAATTTATATTCACAGATGAACTCGCCTTGTGCCCCAAGGAACGTCAAGGGCAGAGCCACAATTAGCTTATAGAAACAGAACAGGTTCTTGCTGTGGGCTGGCAGCCTTCCTGTCAAAGACTCAAAGGAAAGTGACATTGGGGACTAGAAGGCAAGAAAGCAGGATGTCCCAGGGGACAGCAGGCATTGCAGAGGGAGGAGAGACATATGTTTATTCCAACAAAAGACTCAGCTCTCCTGCTAATACATACCACTTCTAGCCAGCAGTTAAACTCATCTGCTTCCTGCTGGCTTTTGTTTTCTCTAGCTAAATCTGTTTTGCCCCACAATAGGAGTAAAAGACTAAGTGAAGGTGAATGCACTGGCATTCACACTATCTTACATACCTCTTTCAGGTAGTTCTGAAATAACACTGGGGAGGAGGAAATGTGTCTGTGCTGGCATTTGTGTGACATGTCCCTAAGGCCTGGCTCTTGCTGCAGTTATTGTTCAAGTGCTTCATGGTTTCCCCATATTTCTTCAACCTCTTGTTTTTCCTCCAAATTAGAAATGTAGCTGCCCTGGTGGAAAATTTACTGGCAATGCAGTGAGGTGACCTCACTGGAGCCAAAGTACAGACAGTTGAGCAATGAGGGTGAAGAAGGAGGAAAAAGTTGGGCTTAGCTGTTAGCATACCTGTCTTGTGCCACTGAGGAACATATTGAAGCTGGAACAGACTCCATCCCTCCAACAATGGTCTTGTAGCTCCAGGAAGCCACCCAGTCCTGAGGTAGAGCCTGGCTCCCCAGGAAATCAAAGTGGAAAATTTCCTGTACAAACAGCTGATACATAGAGTGCAGAAGATAAATGTCACACTGCAAAATATCTCAGGGAAAAAGCCATGCTCAGCATTTTCCTCCGCATGTCTGTTCCCAGCCCAAGCATGGTGAAGCCACCTGTGCCATTGCTTGCCAAGTAAGAAGGCCCTTTATCTGTGCAGCAGAGGTACCAACGATTTTTCCTCTTCCCATTTATGAGCTTTGAGCTGCCTTGAGTGTTCTGACATTTACAATGAGCATCAGCACACCTTTGCTTTGTTCGGTCCGCAGCAGCAGGACTCCCTGGGTGCTAGTCACAATCTCAGAATCATGGAGTGGTTGGGGTTGGAAGGGACCTCTGGAGACCACCCTGTCCAACCCCTTTGCTAAAGCAGAAACACGCTGCAGAGGATTGCACCAAGGTGGGTTTTGAGTGTCTCCAGGGAAGCAGACTCCACAGCCCATCTGGGCAGTTTGTTCCAGTGCTCTGTCACCCTCTCAACAGAAAATTTTTCCCTCGTAT